CTGTACTTTAAGTATCCACTGTAATTCTATTCAGCAGTTGAAATGAAAAAAATCAGCTCTCTGCTCAAAGACATAATGTGACTGATAAAAACAGGTTTTAAAAGTCAGTACCACTTCCATAGTTTTTAAGAACATAAAATGAAAGTATATATGTTGTTTATGGATACATATATGAGTGATAAAAGAATGAAAATTTACAAGGGAATGACAAAAATCAACCTTAGAATCGTTATCTCTGAAGAGAAAGAAAGGGAGGGAAGAAAGGAGAAATGAGCTGAGTTTTTCCTATAAAATTTTATCTTGGAAAAAAGAAAACCAAAGTGAATATGGCAAAGGTTAATATTTGTCAAATATGGTAAGTGGTATATAGATGTCTGTTATATTTTCTGTGTTTTTGAATTCTTTCATAATTTGTAAAAAAAAATCTTAGATTAGTGCTGATGTAATAATAGATATTTAGATGTAGTAACATAGTAGATTTCTAACTTAATTCCATTTTATATATAAACTCAAAATACTTTTGAACTGTAAATAAATATGGACATTTTCAGGAATGCAACTATGCTAAGGCAAGACTGGACCAAGATCTTTTTCCTCATTTTGAAATACCATTCATTATGGCAATGACATTTGTGGTGTCAGAATACAAGATAACCTGTCAGTTCCACAATGTGGCTGCTAGGGTTCTATATATGGGTTTAAGCAAATCAGCGTTTCATCATGTCATCTAGGATAGTTACTAACATACTGAATTTCATACTACATCATTGCAATTTATTTATATCATTTGTAACAATCAAAACTATGTAGTTATATAATTCTTGCATTTTTTTTGCCTTTACATGTTAGCTAGGCAGTAAATATAATAATATACTTACTATATTTAAATTTTTATATTATATAAAAATAAATATTTTTTAGAAGATTATGTATGAAGGGAGATGATAGCATCTGTGGATTTCATTGCAGAATAGGAAAGGCACGTCTGAAAAGGCTGAGAAGCCCTGCTCTGGCCTGGCCCTCCGTCTCACCAGTGACCTCCCCACTTACACACAGGCTGTGCAAGAAATCAAGCCCATTATAGGGAGGGAGGCTGGGGCGGGGGGTTGGGATGAAGTGGAGGTGTGGGTTCCATGACTCTGGGAAGAGGGAGAGGTGACAGTTTCTGCAGTGACAGTGACCTGCCCCCACTCTTAAGTAGCTTTTGAGATGATAAAACTTGGGGGAATGTGGATGCCTTGGAGGAGATTTCTGAGGGCCAACTTGTAGCCTGTAGGGAGTTGCAAAGCCCAGCAGAGGGAGCCACATGATGACTGATCACGAAAGATCGGCTAAGCCAGTAAATGGGCACTTGGCGCAGGTTAATTTTATTTGGGGAGGGGAAGGGATAAGGCATTGTGAGGTGTCATAACTAGGATTCATTAAATTGATTCTACCTGTTAGGAGGTAATGAAATGAGACTATCATTATGGGAGTGTGGGAGAACAGAAAATTTTTAATACCGATTGGCACTGAGTCCCTTGTAAACCTGGTTTCAGGAATATCCCTTCCCTTGGCCCATTTCTGTGGCCAGCTCCCACTCTTTTTGTGCAATTCTTATCCTGTGTCCTCCCTTCATCCTATTCTCAGCACACACAAGTCTCTGTCTCTTTTGCCCACAGATGAAATCTGAAAAGTCCTTGTTCTTTATCAAGCAATGAAAATTAAAATTTTTCTTTGTCTCATTTGCTACCATTTCAGACTACTTCTGGAGTACATCTTGTATACATTAGAAGGTTCATGAAGAGCCTCTCTCATTAAAAGTTACTCTACACCAGAAATAATTTACCCTTCTCCCCTAGAATGAAAATTGCTGCAAATTTTGTGGAAGTATAGTTTACAGAAATGTAAAGAAAACCATTTAGAGAAACAGGCCATGTTTCTACATGGAAAGCCTCTATACTGTAAGAATATCAATTCTTCCTAAGTTGATGAGTACACCACAGTAAGTACCACATGAATTAAATGTTAAACATTTAAAAAATTTTTTGAATGTTAAATTACAGTTAATCTGGATAGTTATGCAAACTGAGGGGAGTGGAACATTCCAATACCAAAAAAAAAAAAAGAACAAAGGAAGAATTAGACCATATAAAGTCAAAATTATTGTATTAAAGAAAAATAAAAATAAACTGGTTAAAAATATATAGCAACTATGAGAGCATAGGCTTAAATATTAATTTAATGAGGGGCTCAGATAAATGTAAACACTGAAAGGCTTCAAAGTATAAAAGGACAAAAATTTGGACAATTAACTGAAGAAGCTATACCACTAGTTAATAATTACAGACAAAGTGCTCAATCTCTAATAATCAAATACATTTATATTTAAAAAGACAGATTATTTTTTACTTCCAAAATAGCAAGACAAATTTTAAAAATGTATAACTACATACTGGTGAGTGCTATTTCAGTCAGAACTAATATGGAGTTAGATTTGTTCTTTTCTATTACACAAGGATTGCTGACAATCAGCAGAAGCTAGGAAGGAGGCATGAAATAGATTCTCCCTTAAAACCCTGAGAAGGAGCCACCCTTAATTTCAGACTTCCAGTCTCCAGAACCATGAATAAATTTCTGTTGTTTTAAGCCACCTAGTTGGTGGTACTTCTGTTACTGCAGTCCTAGGAAACTGAAACATATTTTCACATTAAAAAGTACTCTTCTAAGTTCCCAAGAATTTCTATGTATGATCTCTAATTTCTTGAATAAATCACAAAATCTAAAATAAAAAAGTAGTCACATCATCCTACTTTATGTAGTCCCTGGGAAAGTTACACTCAAAGACACAATTCAAATATAAGAATAAGTATCTCTTATTCAGGAAAGGAAACTATGCAGCATTTCTAGTCGTACATAGCAAGAGGTCAAGGATCAGTTGTAAATGTCAAAGTACATTAAAAAATAAAGGATGTGGTTTGTTCCAAGTTGGCCTGTAAAATTTTCATCCTGACCCTTTGATTCCCTTCCTTGCTGGAAATTCTCCAGCGTCTGAAGTGACCCTGCATTTGGCTTCTGGGAAGACATTATTATTCATTCTGTTTCACTCCAGAGCAAAGAAGGGCTGACCTAAAAGGAGCTCTGACCCAGAACCTCTCTGTGGCGGAATACTGATGAACACAGATGGCAGGTTGTCGTGAGGGACGATCTTTGGTTATAATTCTGCTTTCTGCAAGTTAGGGGGAGAGACAGCCTCAGAGTTTACAGAGCAGTGTGCTCTCAAAAGCCTCACTGGTGGGTTGATTTTGTAGAGGACACTGAGCTTGCTTGTAGGAGTCTCGCCTTTCTCAAATATGTTCCATATGATCAGAGGATGTCATAAAAAAGGGTATAAAGGAGTAATACATAGAGAACAGATTGTTAAATTAACAAAATGCACCTTGGTTTCTCTACTATTTTCAATGTTTCCAAATACCCAAAGAGAGCAAAGTATAAAATTTTTTTTACAAAAATAATGTGGTAGAATAGCACCATGGTAAGAGATTTTGAAGCCAGGCTCTCTGTTTTCAAACCTATTCTATTGCTTCTTAGCTTGGTGTAGTTAATTTGCCTCTCTAAGTGCAAATTTCTTCATCTGTAAAATTAGGATAAAAATTGCACCTACTGCAAAGGGTTGTTGGGCAGATTCCATGAGGCAATATATGAAAGGCATTTAGCTCAGAATGTTACGCATGGTAAGTGCTTAATAAGTGTTAGTTGCTGGCATAATAACAACAATAATAATAATGTCTTTCCAGACTTCTACTTGAAGTAGCTATAAATTTTCCAGTAGAATTGATTATAGAGTAGGCCTCTTGCGGTCATTTGATTCACCCCAATTAAATTAGGCTGAAAAGGAAAATTTCAGCTTCTCAAGTTGACCGTTCCAATACTTAACTTCCTTATCAGAAAAATAAAATTTATTTCAGGTCCCTAGTCTGTTAGATAAGTGGGTTGGATTAAATAATTTCTAAGGAGATTTCCAAGCACTAAAAAATTACATTTTGAAATAGGTATTGTCAATCATAAATCAAACATGTTACAGTCTCTAATCATTGTCTTTCTTTTGGTGAATGAGTATTTCTGTTTTACCAGCTTCTTACCTCTTTTGTTTCAAAATATAAACTTTAGTTTGATGGTTAGAGTGTTTGTGGTTTTTTTTTTTAACATTTTTTATTGATTTATAATCATTTTACAATGTTGTGTCAAATTCCAGTGTTCAGCACAATTTTTCAGTCATTCATGGACATATACACACTCATTGTCACATTTTTTTCTCTGTGATTTGTCATAACATTTTGTGTATATTTCCCTGTGCTATACAGTGTAATCTTGTTTATCTGTTCTACAATTTTGAAATCCCAGTTCATGTGGTTTTTGTTTTTGCCCCAGTTGTGTGCCAAGGGAGCTTCATAGACTTAAGGCGGCTTAGCACTGTCAGTTTTCAGTTAGAGGGCTGAACAGTTTCTATACCACTAAAGTTCCTTTGGATCAAACTTTTAGGTTTAGCTGCTTTGAAAGAGAGAAAACCCCACCATTTTGAAGACATCTCATCAAGAAATTGATGACTTTTAGAAGTCATCGTGTATGAGCTTCAAAGATTGTAATATAACCTTTATTTTTAATGAATTTTTTTTGTTCTATTGATAAAAGGTATTTGGTTATTGGAATCCATTTGTATTTGCAAATCCACCTGGGGGTAAGAACTCTTAACTCAACCCTCAGTGCTCCTGCCTTCCAGCTGAAGTCCTTTGTTCTCTGCCCTCTGCCCCTGGACGTTTTCTGATTGTCCAGGAGTTGGCATTGTTGTTTCAAAGGAGTGGCTTCCCTGGGGACCAGAAATGGAATTTAGGAAAAATGGATGGTGTACAGCGGGTGAGGCTGCAAGAGAAACAGTGAGAAAAGGCCCGTTTAATGAATGAAACATGGGAATAATGGCAAAATCTGTTTAAGTAATTGCCTTTCTCCATCTTCCTTTCCAGGGGCGAACGTGAACATGAAGACCAACAACCAGGATGAGGAGACACCCTTACACACGGCTGCTCACTTTGGCCTCCCGGAGCTGGTGGCCTTCTACGTGGAGCACGGGGCCATAGTGGACAGCGTGAACGCCCACATGGAGACTCCACTAGCCATCGCTACCTACTGGGCCCTCCGCTTTAAAGAGCAGGAGTACAGCAGGGACCACCACCTCATCTGCCGCATGCTACTGGACTACAAGGCCGAGGTCAATGCCAGGGATGACGACTTTAAATCTCCACTGCATAAGGCGGCTTGGAACTGCGACCACGTGCTCATGCACATGATGCTGGAGGCTGGCGCCGAAGCCAACCTCATGGATATCAATGGCTGTGCTGCCATCCAGTACGTGCTGAAGGTCACCTCCGTGCGACCTGCCGCCCAGCCCGAGATCTGCTACCAGCTGCTGTTGAACCATGGGGCTGCTCGAATATACCCTCCACAATTCCATAAGGTGAGCCTGTGTCCTAGGGCGTCATGTGGAGAACCGGGTAGTCAGCAGGATAATGGGGACTCAAAGAGCAGCTGGGTCTGAAATCTCCAAGTAACTCAAGCTCGTTTGAGGCTTCAGGCTTTGGGCTAACGGCCTCTGATCCTCAGTCTGAGCTTCCTTTTATAGCCCTAGCTATCTCATCCTAGTCCAAGTTTGTTTGAGACTTGGAGTGACAGCAAAGAAAGCAAGCAAGAGGGGTGGATAATTTTCCATGCCTGGTGTGAACATCAGTGCACTGGGAGTGGCTTCCTGGGAGACTGAGTGAAAAAGATCAGAAGTCTGATCTTTAAGCCTGTAGGAGAGGTGAATGGTGTCACACAGACACAGTCTTGCCATCTCTTCAGCAGAATGTCTACTCTAGAGATGACTGAGCCTGCTTTGGAATTAGTTTGTAGACATGAAAGGGACTCTAAATTTTATAGTTTAATGAAAGCTAACATTTATTAAGAACTAATAATTATATTTATTATGTATAATGAATTATGTTTATTAAGACACTGGTATAAGCATTTCACTCTTCTGAATTTAATTTACTTAATTCTACAACAATCCTATATGGTAATTAATATTATTATCCCTAATCTATAGAGGAGGGCTTGCTGGATCCCACACAGTGGCAGTGGCAGTATTCAATCTTAGATCGTCGTTTGATGCTAGTGTTTATTCTATAAAATTTTAACAGTTTTTATTGGCAATTTCTAATGGGCTAGCAGGCACAAGATATTAACAATACTGATATGGCAGAGGAGAGGTGAGTAGATAGATGCAAAGACGGAGCGGGAGGGCTGCGGCTGAAGGTTCCGCCCACACTCCCTGGGCTGCGCTGTCCGAGGGGGAGGGGGCGGGAGCCGCAGGGAGGGAACTTAGCCGGACCGGGCTTGCCCGAGCTCCCGAGCTGGGCGCCGGCGCTTTCGCGCTGCTTACTTACTGCTCACGGTCTGTCTGTATGTTGGCTAGCTGCGGCTCTGTCCATGGAGCAAAAGTGGAGAATCCAGGGTGCAAAGTTTCTGGTGCTTTGCTTTGCAGTGTCCTCCTAGTCTTCCTTTCTCTTTACTCCTTTCCCTTTCATCTTCCCCAGGTCTTAACGTTTAAGGTCCTGGGTCAGGGTGTCTTCTTACTGCGGAGATGGTTGTTATGATGGTGGTGGGATGGGGACGAGGGTAGAGGAAGGAGGAGGAGAGGAAAAGGAGGGCCCCTCCAAAGCGGCACCAGAGTGAGTGGGGTAAGAGGCGGCGTAAGAAGGGGGATAAAAGAGAAAAAAAAATTACTGGTATAACTAAGACATGGTAACTACCCTCAAGTAGCTTAGAATCTCGTGGGAGAGACAAACACATAAAAAGATCACTTTAATATGCCGTGGTGAAAAGCAAGGTAGAGGAGTAAGGGCTCTGTAGGTGCATGGAAAAGAGAGAGCTTTGTACTTGGTTGATGACATAATTTGGAAATCAAAATGCCCTTCACCTTAAATAAAAACTGTCTTCTTTTTAAGGGGGGAGGTGATTAGGCTTATATATTTATTCTTAGAGGAGGTACTAGGGGTTGAACCCAGGACTCTGTGCATGCCAGGGTTGTGCTCTACCACTTGAACTATATCTGCCCCCTCACCTTAAGGAAAGAAATCAAATGATAATGTGCCTAGGATCTCACTCACTCTAAACAACACACAGCAGAGGAGTTTTAGGTGTAAACCAACTAACTAACGTATGGCCACAGAAAGCTAGTTGACAGAAGTTTTTCTAAATTCACAGCCAAGTTCTACTTCCTACCTTGGTAAAATGTCAGGGACTTGTCTGAAGTCCTGCAGTGTGAGGGTTAGTTGGAAGAGAAGTTCCACTGAAGAATTTAAGGGGAGTACACTCAGCAAATTCCAGATGGACAACTCGAAGAATGTTCCAGTGTAGCTACAATGAGCTCAGTGATTCCTGTGGTCTCACTAAGGAATTTTCTCTTGATCGTAAGAAAATTGAATATTTTTTTCCCTTTAAATTGTTTGTAATACTCATAATGTCCTGGAGCATTATAAACATTTTATAGAGAATTCCAAAAGATTATATTGGTTAGGAACAGGATAATAAATAGTAATGTTACAATAGTGCTCTTTGTTGAGCTCTAAGTAGGCTTTGTATGGATTATTTCATTTTATTTTTTGTAATAACCTCTGAGGTAGTTACTGGCATTATCCTCATTTAAAAAGTAATAGCATTAAGATGTTTTCCTAAAGTCACACAGAGTAAGTGGTCAAATTCATTTATTCATTTATATAACAAATATTTACTGAGCACCAACTAAGAGTCAGGAACTGTTTTAGGAGTGGGAGATAGAATAATGAATCAAACCAAAGGCCTTGATGGGAAGTACTTTCTAATGGGAGGTAGGGAAAAAAACAAAACAACAAACAAATAAATATACTCTGATATGTTAGGTGCCATGGACACAAGTAAAACAAGGTAAAGAAAATAAGAGAATGTGGGCTTTTTTTGTTATTTATGTGTGTGCTGCTTTTTACAAAGGTTGATTAGAGAAAATGAGGATGTGAAAGAGAAAGTCATGTGAATACCTGGGATGATAGCAGGGACTGGGGCAGGGGAGAGCATTCTAGGCATAAGGGAAAGCAGGTGCAAAGATCCTGGGGTAGGGGAGGACTAAGCATGTTTGAGGAAGCCAGAGTGCCTGAAGTGGGGTGAGTAAGGAGGAGGAGAAGTCAGAGAGGCATATATGAGACTGGTTTGCAGACCATATATATGGCCTTATAGGCTGTGTTGATAGCCTTGGTTTTTTATTCTGAATGAGAGAGTATGTCACTAAAGGATTTTGAATGGGAAAAAAATGTCTGATTTATATTCCAAAAGGATCCTTCTGATGCCTTTTGGAGAATAATAACTCTAGGAGAGCAAAGGTATTCAAATGATCTGGATAAGAGATGGGGGTGGCTTAGACCCACAGTGGAAACTGAGAAAGTAGTGAGAAGTGGTGAGATTAAGGGCATGTTCTGAAAAAGGAGTCCATGAGTTTCCTAATGGATTACTTGTGCCTGTGAGAAAAAAAGAGGAATCAAGAATAATTTCAAGGATTTCTGCTCAAGAAATGGAATCAAGGGACCATTTCTTGAGATAGTAACAATGCAGGTGAAACTGATTTTGAAGAGATCAGGAGTTCTGCTGTGCTTTAGATGGATGCCTGCTAGTCATCCAGGTAGAGAAGTCAAGTAGACGGTTTGATATATAACCCTGATGTTCAGGGAGAGGTCTTGGCCAGATATACAAATTTGGGAGACTTCACCATGAGCATGCTATATAAAGCCATAAGGACAGATGAGATCAACCAGAATTTGAGGGCAGAGAGAGAGGAGACGTGGCCAGAAGACTAAGCCATGGCACCCTCCAACTGGAATTTGGGGAGATGGAAAGGAATCAGTGAAGGAAACTGTAGGAAGACCTTGAACTAGGAGGAGAATCAAAATAAGAGCATTTTCCTGGAATCCAAGAGAGAACATGAGAAAGGAAGATGTGGAATCAACTGGGTTGAATATAAGTGGCATTTCAATTAAGATGAGAGTTAAGAAGGTGCCACTGGACATGGATTTTATTGGGGATCTCAACATGAGTTATTTTGGTGGAATGTTGGTGAGAAAAGTTTATAGTATTGATTATAGTGGGCTCAAAGGAAAAAGGGATAAGAGGAAGTGAAAACAATGAAAGGTTTTGAGGCATTTTCTTGTAATGGAAGAGTAGCTGGAAGAGAATGGCTGATATGTTTGCCGGCTGATGGGAGTGTCCAGGAAAGGGAGACAATGTGATGCAGGGATTACTGGAGCGCCATCTTGAGTTGGAGACAGAGGATGGGATCTCGTACACGAATGGAGGTGTTGGTCATAGTAACAAAGACAGTTCATCCATCATAACAGGAGGGAAGGTACTGCCTGTGTGCCCAGATGCAGGGATGTTGGTAGATATGTTAATAAGAGTTTATAGAAGTTCTCTTATGATTCCTTCTATTTTCTCAGTGAAGAATGAGAAGTGGATGGAGAGGAGGTTGGAAGGTTTAAGGGCAAAGGTGAAGGTGTGAGATGTTGACCTCGGAAAGCGAATGGACTTGGGAAATGTAATAGGATTGCTGGGTGGCTCAAGCCTATTAAAAGTTAATGGTCATGTGCTTAGTTCAGAATGAGGTCTGTCTGACTCCTGAGCCTAGGCCCTTAGATTTAGTAGTTTCGTCTGTGTTTTATATTACCCAAGAAATGTAATTAAACCTAAAGGATCACAACACAAGAAAAGACCTAAAGAGGTCATTTTATTGAATTCTCAAGAGTCTAGGCAGAAATACTGCTCTTGTTCCATTTGCAAATCTCCATGAAGGCACATCCTACAGCATCTCCTTCCTTGGGTATCCATTTGATTTTGGAACAACCCCTCCCATGCCTTCCAATTTTTTTTTCTTTTTGGTAAATTATCTAGACTAATCCTTTCCTTCTTAACCCTGACCTAGAATAACTCATATGCATCCTAATAAATCTTTATATCTTAGTATCTGTTTGTACCTAGGGCATTTTCCCCAAACCAAATTTTTTATTTCTTCCAAGTTTTTAGTTATTAATTGTTTTTGCCTCTAGAACTTGGTCAAAGTATGTCTGAAAAGGTCAAGAATTATGATAATTTTTAAACCTATATTTTCTCTATCAATTTTGAGGAAAGACTGCTACCTAAATGACTCAAAAAAATATGTGAACTCTGTTGCTGAAGATACCTGTTTGACCTCAGTTGTTAATTCTTGCCTTCTTGCAATTTCCCCATTGATCTATAGGCTTTGAAATTTTTAAATACTTTTCATGCTAAGGTTGGATCCAAGGAATATTTTCATTCTTGAACTGTTGTACACACTGCAGCCTTAGAAATAAAGTCAAATGATTACATTCTGTGAAAAACTCAATAACTTTTGTTTAAAGTACAGTGATCCATGGCTTT